ATTGAGTGCTGTTGTTATAAAGGAATGGAACATTACATCTTCTTATCCATCACACCCAATAGGGCTGGTAGATAAATGCTACAATTCATACCTTAAACTATACCCCAAACAAGGTAGATTCTTGCTAGAGCTTGCCAAGACCTGTTCCTGTAAGTTAAAAATGTTCTCTTGGTTCCCTTTAGAAATTTAAACAACACTCAGTGTAATGGAATATATTTGCTTCTGACTATTGACCTTACATCCCCTTATCGAGATAATGGCACTTTCTTAGAAGTTGCCCTTGGGTGTTTCTGCAAGGTCAAAAAGACACAATACACAGATAGGGATAAACCTGCTTTGAACTACTGCATCCACTCATGCTCCAGTAGTCCTGCAACCCTGATGGCAACAAATGAAGACTAATACGTTGGGAGCATAGGGCTCAGCTTCTTAGAAAACACAAAAAGTGGGTATGGTCAGAAAGAGCACGCGACCACTGACAAACATTTTGCATCCTGCCTGAGCTACCAAGCTGCTAACCCAGGTACAAACAAGAGTCAGGCAGGCATAGGGGAAGCTGACAGAACCACATTATTGCAACTATAAATTCACATTTGCCAGGAGATGCTCCAGTCATTGCCCAGTGCTGTCTTTTTAACAGAATCAACTGCATATTCAAGGAAAAAGATGTCTTTCCTGGCCAATAGGTTCTGAAGACTAAAAGTGGCTGTTCTTCATCTGAAGTCCTTTCTTTATGAAGGGATTTTAGAAGCTTCAGCTAGTGTCCAAGTAAGTCCTGCTTGATGAGAACTCTAGTTAATGCTGCAGAGCTTTTGTAAAGAGGTACCTGAAAACCACCAGCAGACAGAACTTTATGTCTTAAATAACTTCTATCACTTAGATGCCACTAAGAGTCACTTACCAGTCCTTTTCTTTTGTTGAAATTACAGCCTTATTCATTTTATAATATTAGATAAAAGGGCACGTATGTTCTGAAAGGGCAGCTAACCTCAGGGCAGATTACAGCTCAACCTTTTTCTCTGAGTAACCAAGCTGAAAATCAGCAGTTATCATGGAAGCATATTGTAAAGCTGGGATACTGCTGTGAATAATGAAGCATATCAAGTGTTTTGATAAACCCAAGGAGTCTAAATGGGCCTCAAAAAGCAAAGAGAAAAAGCATTAGGACTTGTCTTCTTTTCCAAAAATCTTCTATTAGTACCCTCATGGAGTCTTTGTTTTCTACCTCTTAGACCCTGACTCAAAATTCCATTTAAGAAAATGAAGAACACAATCCTGCCATCTCTTCAAAGATTTAACTTTATGGTAGACAGATTTTATTGTTCTTAGTTACCACTAAAGGTAATAATTGTGGTGCAGTTTTCTTTTGCTCGCATTTGTGTTATTTTATTAATGTTTCCCTAGCACCAGCTAGCATTATAAAAGGAATTCCAGTTTTTAAACATGATTGTTAGTCTTGATTTTCATCCTCAAAGCAGAGATGTTTTTGGGGAAGCCTAAGGAGGAGGAAGAAATACAACTCGGACACTGCAGTCTATTGTCACCTCTGAACACATAGGCTTAGATGGCTTTTCTTTGATGCTGCTGCCAATTTTATTCACAAGCATATAAAAAAAAGGTCACAACATTTAGAGTTACAGAACTCTGGAAATTAAATGTTCCTTTACATTTTTAATTTCTGGAAGTAATTTATCATGGAATAATATTTGAATATGACTGAGTGACTGTACAAAGATTAAAGCAAACTATCTTCAAATTGGAAGTTCACAACCACACACATTTAACCTTATTGTATAACAGGCGTAAAAAGTTTATGTGGTAGCTCCAAGAGCTGCATTTCCATTTTGCTGGAAGCATTTGCACTGAAATTCTCCTTAGTATTTTTCCACTAATATGTCTGTATAAGGCATGAGGTTTAGCTCTCTACCATTTTCTATTTCAGATTACGCTATATCTGAATGGATTTCACAAACCTGGCAACTAAAGAAGGAGCAGAAAGCAAGTCCCAACAGTCTACACAACTCTTTCATACCATGTTTTATATGAGATATCAAACTATGGATTTTTATACCAATCTGGCAATATTAACAATACTATCATACTGTAAGAGGAAAATAGAACAATTTTGTGTGAAGACTCGAGAAAACACTAAGGTACCAAGCAACCACAGTGCTAGTCAGAAGCTCCAGGTGGATAGGTCTGGAGATCCGATGATGGGGACATCACTCACGTGCTGCTACTACCAGGCTTCAGGGACTGCCTGCCATGCTCTCGTACACCACACACGTCCCCTCAGATACTAGCCAGGCTTATTTCTCCAAAGCCCGGTGACACTACTTGTTGAGCAAATAAAGGAATCTGGCAAAAGGCAGTGCTATGGAATTTGTGTTCAGTCATTAGAATTCATAATTTTCCCATAAATATAAGGAAAGCTGGCTGGCTTCCAGACTGTAAAGGGCAGACACACACAACACCAAATCCCTTCTCAGGTGCTGCTTAAACTGCACCTGGGTGAAATTTATACTGGCATATAGAAATACTCATGTTTTCTCCTGGGAGCTCTTCTTTAAAAGCCTGACAAACTCTGAAATATTCAGTTTGAGACTCCATTAAACAGTGGGTCAAGTGAAGAGACAATGTCTGAAGAAGGGAGACTGAGGAAAGAAGTTAAAGGAAGTCTTTAACTGAGACATCACTGGCACATTCAAAAACCCAAAAGAATATTTAAGATAAAGCAACTTAGAAAGCCTGTTTGCTATTGATTTATTCTCAATACCAAACTCTTTTGTGAGCATTTCAGCACCTAATCCCAGAAAGAAACAGCGATAAAGCAAACTATTGTAATGCTATTATGGTTTTGCACATACACGTATATGCACACACACAATCACTCCCAGGCCCACACAAGTATTTTGTTTATAACACTGTAGTCCGTCTCATGAGCAGTTGCTCACATACACTCTATGCAGGAGATGACTGGCCTCTCCAGCATTTTGAATGTTTCCATATATACACGATTTCCCTATTTCCCAGGTGACTGTGCTCCTCCAAGGGGGCAGAACACTTTCTTCATGCCACACTGAAGACAGCAGAATTAAGGCATTTAATATCCTTGTACCAGGGCAATGCCAGGAGCAGCAGTAGCTCAAGTTTGGCCTCCTGAAAAAGCCTTCAGGAAAGCTGCTCCCCAGAACAACCAATCCATTAAATTAATGCCTTGTTGGCTGGAGTTAAAGCTTTGAATCAAGCAAAACAAAAGCCTGGGTTTCAGAATATGTATTCCCTATCAAATCGCATTTATCAAGATAAGGGTTATTAGAAGCTTTTTTCTCTTGTGTGAATGAAATTGTAAGCTTAAAATGTCACTGAAGATTTATTAATCTGGTACGCTTTCTGATAAGGGCAAAGAGATAGAAAGGGCAGAGGAAAAGAAATATTTCCTCTAGCTTGATACGGGCTACAAGAAATAGAAAATATGAATAAGGCAATTTATCAGTGGGTATACTGTAACTGAAAGAGTCAAGCCACATAAAGCAATATTACAGTTACGTATTGATTTCTGAACTTTGCCATCTAAAATACTTCATCTAAGTTTGATAGTTATGCAGAAAAATATCTGTGGTTTGCAAAAAAATGGAGTAAACCTGAATTGTCAAAGTCTAGGCTATAGAATCACTTCTTGTGTTAGAAAGTAAATGGAGATCTAACATGCAAACTGTTGCTGGGCTAGAGAATACAGTGCGTGGATCACCACCAGCAGCAGCATCACCAGTGTTTGCAGTTGAAGTGACAGGGCCTGAACTAACCAGAGGAAGTGTTGTTTAAACTTTGGCTTTCTGTTTCTGTGCCTGTTGCCATCAGAACACGTCCATACTGGGGAGGAGTGTGAGCTAAGAGGTTCTCAACTATTTTGGGTCAAACAGACCATTGCTAAAACTTCATCTTTTTTATACTCCATGTGGTGCACAAAGCAAATACCTTTCATTGCTTAACACAAAAGAGCAAACCCCGTGTCACTGCTTTGGCTTTGTGATCTACTAAAACACACAGGAGCCCAGCAGCTGAGTCAACCCTCTTAGCACTCCTCCTAAGAAAGGGGTGACAACCCTGAACTTAAAGCAAGCTAGTGCTCCCTTTGCCCCAGATGCTCTCACCAGCACATCTGCACTCGTATTAAGAAACCACATCCATGAGTAACTGCTCTTCTCTTCCAAAGGGCTTTCCCCATAGCAGGGTGGTGACACTTAGACAGAAACTGGCTGGGATGCTTGCCCTGATGCTGGACTTGTAGTCAGCCTCTTTTGCAAGGACTAATTCCCTTTAGATGAGGTCACTCTGGGACAGCTTATGCTTACTTCCTTGGAAAAGACCTGAGGGACTGAATTACCTCACCAGGCTTTCAGACATAAATAGAGAACTCACCAGAGAGCTGGCAGGGAAAATGGCCATTTGTGTTGAGACTCCAGCCTTCAGGTTTATATAACGTTGTTTGCAATGGGTTTGTTATTGAAACAATATCCTATATAAATACACATAAGTATTTAATATACATTTGACTTCTAATGATAAAATTAATAAAGATTAAAATGATAATTCAGATCCCACGTAATATATATGTGTGCCTTCAGACAGCTTCCTAGTTAACATGCAGACTATTGATGACTTTTTTTACCCTAAGAAGAGATGAGCCATCAAGTAGCATTTTTTCTTTCCTGTCTTCTTTGATGATGATTCAATATTTTCATTCAAAATATTTTCACTCAGAAATGAGATCATTAGCCAGAACTCAGGTTTCCTACGAGACTACCAAGTGGGTGTTAATTTTACAGCAGTTAAGATGTTTGAAAGCACTATGTGTTTAGGAAAGGATTAGTTGTACCTTCAGTTTTTCTCAGATGTGTTACATATAAAATCTCCTAGTTAAGAAACGTCTTCTGTTTTTCTAAGAACATAGCAGGAACCAAATAATCTGCTATAATTCCATTAGCAGCTTAACTCACCAGCCTTCTCTGTCTTGTGTTTCGAACTTTCAGGTGCTGGAAGGCAGGGGCAGGGCCCTTCGCATCGAGCTGTGATGGTTTTGCCAGTAGTACATGCATGAAACTCCAACTTGCACTAGAGTCGTTAAAAAAGCAAGAAGACATTTTGAATTAGGACCAGACATAAAAGCAGCAGCTGTGGATGAAATGAGAAATTGCATTTAGCAGTAATGACATTGGACAGATTGCAAAACTTCAGTCTACTGAAATGCCATTGTTTTTATTATTACAGATAACAATAATAGCTACTTCCTATGCAGAGTTTTGCGTGGCACTTGTAAATGTTCCTTGTAAAGTGGTGTTATTTCCTGCTTAAATATATGGAATCTACAGCATAGAAAATTAAAACAAATTCTTCCAGGTCACTTACGAGAGCAGTGGCACAGCTGGGAAGAACGTACAAGCCTCCAGAATCCCATGTGTTTCCTATGCTGCCTTCCTGTGTTTCAGATGTGAAATCATGCCAGCTATTACCTGTTACCATTACTGATTTATTAGTTTGGCCTGTTGAGGAGCTGGGAGCAATGGGCTGTGTCCAAATACCATCCATGAAAAGAACACCAATCCTCACCATAGTGAGAAGCAAATCAGCTCATCAGTTGATGAGAGGTCCTTCAACATGTTAGCTTCTCTGAACAAGGGGGAAATCTTAAATGACTCCTACCAATAAACTGCTTTAACAGTTAACAGCACCACTCCTAAAAATAGCCATTCATCTTGCAGTCAACTCCAGAAATACAACCAAATTGTAAAATAAAACTGAAGAGTGAAGATTAAACCACAAGCAGTATAGTTCCCTATAGCTGCGTCTTGTAACTTTGAACCACAGAATTGTTTAAGTTGGAAAAGACTTTTAAGATCATCAAGTCCAACTGTTAACCCATCACAGCCAGGCCCACCACTAAACCATGTCCCCAAGTGCCACATCTCCACTTCTCTAAATACCTCCAAGGGACTGTGACTCCACCGCTTCCCTGGGCAGTCTCTTCTAATGCCTGAGAACCCTTTTGGTGAAGAAACGTTTCCTAACATCCAATCTAAACCTCCTCTGGGGCAACCCAAGAGCATTTCCTTCAGTGCCCTTCCTTGCCCACCGCTGCCCCATGCACTGTTTCCCACCATGTGGTGATGCTCCCAGTCACTGGTGCTCCCAATGGCTTCTTTTACACATGTGAGAGGCTGTCTTGGCTTGCTCCTGGCCCTGCCCAGGTCCTGTCTACCACTGTGACTTGAACTGGGGGCTTCTGTCACCACCCTTTGCTCCCCTGAGGTTCTCTTGGTTTGGGAAACCCCTCTGTGCACCATGCCGGAGCACTCACTGCTGATCATGCTGGCACTGGAGCCGCTCATCTCAGTGACCTGTTATTTTCCCTTCCCTAAAAGCTCAGCAGATGGGATTTACAGCACCTCTTGACAGTCACCACATTCAAACCATTTAGGGCAGCAGGACATGTGCAGTATTGGACAGATGAGACAACTCAGGAGAATTTACATTACAAAAGCATGCTGGTTAAAAGCCCTGATTTATAACACACCGACTGCTCACAGCCTTTGCTGTTTGCATTACATGTATTTTAGTGCTGACTTCCCTCTAACAGCTTTGAGCCTGTGTAAGTTGTCCTCTCTGCAGTTAGGGCCCCAAGGATGTTTTCCCCAGAGCCAACCCAGCAGCAGGGCTGCTGGAGACCAGACTAACGTGCTAATAAAATGGAGTAAAAGAAAACAGCACACAGAAGCAGTAACAAAACTGTGTGTGTGAGGCGTTCTCCTTGGCTTGATACCTGATGAGCTGAATTCCTTTAGGATTTCTGTCATCTTCAAGCACTGATTTTACCAGATCAGCATCCAAGGGCTCTTAGTGCAAGGGGGAGTTTTGCCTGCAGTGCTAAGGCTGGCACTCCTCCCTGCAGACTGCCTCCTGCCAGAGGAAACTGGAAACGCTGGGCTGTAAAATCCCTTTGATAAGGCTGAGTTTTGCTGTACATTAATTCTTGATCAATTAAAAGTAGGCCAGCACGCTTACACAGTGTGACACAACATGCTCCGAAACATGCAGCTTGTTTGAAGGCTGAAGGACACACAGTGCCAGGAGATGGCGTTATCCAGTGAGGATGCAGTGTGGGCAACTGGAGCTTGTCTAGCAACAGCCACTGATGAAAATCACAGCATCATCTTCTGTTATTTTGATACAGTGGAAGCCAAGAGAACGGAACGGGATGTTGTGACAAGATAAATGCCTCCTGCTTTGAAAGTACTGCAAATATCTTGGCTTTGCCTCCGTTTGTTTTTGTTAAAAGGGATCATCTTTGCCCAGGCTTTAATCTAGCAGCAGGAGACCATTATCCTGTGCCTACATCTGTTGACATTATCTCCTGGCCATTCTGCAGTTCAATGCACCAGAGTGGCTGCATCCTCTGTGCGATGTTCTGCCCTTCTGATTTAGGAAATGCACGGCCACCCACAAAAACATACAAAGCTTAGCTTGCACTTTGCACTAATTTCTTGCAAGACTGAAGGGAATATAAATACTTATTATTCATCAGTTTACTACATAAATACACTCTGCGCAAAACATAAATGCAAGGGAAAGCACATCAGAAGGAAAGGAAAACAGAAAGGACAACACTATCTGAGTGCACAGTCCTGATGGCAATGCCTCTTTCTGCAGCGTACTCTGATAGTCAATATGTTATTGAGAACACAGGCATAAATCTTCTTGCAGCTGAAGCTGATAATTTAATCCTTCAAAGAACATCAATTAGTTCATATTTTATTATGTATAATAAATGTAAATTATGTATCTAAGCATTAAGAATTATACTTCGTATACTTCAAATATCACCCTTTAAGATGTTAAGGCCTATTTCAAGCCTGGTTTTATGTGCACTTAAGGAAGAGCTTTATACTTAGAAGCAGCAAGGCAAGTTTTGCCTCAGCTTTATGAGTAGTAAAGCTGGCAACCAAAAAGCTCAAAACAAACCAAAAAAGAAACTGCTTTAAAAGGGCTACTTCTATCACCTGAGTGTGCAGAGCAAGGAAGGCTAAACTTGAAGATCACAACAGTACAATCACACGAGTAAACTTACATCTGTGATTAGCCACATTATTTATATTACCACCGTGCTTGTTTAAGGTGTTGGGTGTTAGTTCGTGTATGTATAGAACTGGGATGGCAGATCGGTGTTGGCAGAGAAAGATTAAAGAATTCTATTGTTTTAAATATTACATTTGGATAGTACTCATTACTTTTCAACACCTAATCACTGTATGTAACTTTTCCCCTTCCCTAAAGAAAAACAGGAAGTATATTTTCCATGTGATGGTATTCTTACTTGCTGTAATAACCTCTATGAATAGCTCAACTTTGGATTTAATGACATTGCCCAAGTCAAACTAAGTGATAGAGTCAGAATGGCCACAGATGATGTCTTGTGGAGCAATAACGAAGTCTTCGGACTGCTCAGCCACTGCATCTGCAGTCTAGAAGGAGCCTGCTGGCTTTTTCCAGACCATGAACACTGCATTTCCACTTCTGTGGAGAAAACCTACGTGCCCTCTTTCCTTTTGCCATCGTCACCTCCTTCTCACATGGAAATAAGATACAGTACTAGACAAAACATTAAATGAAGCTATGATCCAACATAAAGTCTTCCGCATCAAAGGGACATTGCAGGTGTTGCAGGTATGAATGATGAAGCTCCTTTTAGCAGTTCTACAGTGGGAAGCACTCACAGTTTGGGGCCAGTCCATCTAATTTCAGGGGACTCATCTCATTGCTGGCATCAATGTATGTGCCTTGACTCTCTGCTGAGCTTTCCTTATAGCAGGACTCCCTGGGTCCTGCCAAGCCTCATATTTCTCTGCTACCTCCCTGATGTCTGAGCTGTGTTTGTTGACTATGAACCCCAAGGCCCACATAAACATCTCTAAACTGTTTTACTGCAAATGGAAAAGGAGCTCTGTTATTTGTTGCTAAACACATATGGAGATCAATAAAATATATGAGGGGAGAAACGGTTGAACATATTCATGGAAAATTCATAAATTAATTTATTCAACTAAGATGTGGGGAATTATGGCAGAGTGTGTTTTGGCTCAAGTGTTCCCTTGAGAATCCACTACTGGTATAATGATTCCCTCTTTATTGTCAGTGCATCTACAGCAGTGTGTTTTGCATAAGCATTCACATCTGAGGGAGGAAGAAAATAGCTACATAAAATTTATTCTGAGCTATTTTATTCTTGTCTGTCAGTCTCCATTCTGGAGTCCCTGCTAGAGAATAATCTGGATATTTTCTTAATGATGGAATAAAACAGTGTATCTATCTCTGTCTTTATACTGGTTTTCAACTTTCAGCAGCCGGGTTTTGACTCACCTGCACATAAGTAATATTGTTGAGTAAGTTCCTGTAGCCTTTTACACACCTGACTAATGAATGTCTATGTGGACAGCTCAGTACAGTCTCCAGACCATATTAGAGCTTTGAATCCTGACACAAGGATCTCACATATTTGGTTCAAATGCATCAAGTAAGGCAGCAGTGGGGTGAAAGATTGGTGGGAGCATGTAGGAATTAGAGCACAATATACATGATGAAGATAAAGTACCATGACGTCTCCTTCTCATAAGACTGAAAATTGCAATAGGAGGTTAAATTTTATAGCAAGTTAATTAAAACCTATGTTAAAACCCTGAAATGTTACATCTTACTAATAACAGTGGCTCTAAAACTCTGTTGATGAGCAGTGTTCTTGCCTGGAAGACACTGCATCTTCTTTAGCACCCTGCAGCTTTTTACATTCCCACCAAGAATTAGTTCAGTGCAGTTTGTTTTACGGTGCATCTTTTGTTCACTCACAATATGTCTCTTCTAAACTCCACATGCAAATAACAAAAGCTCATTATTTTCTACCTTATCTTTCACTCAGTACCTGCCACCGGCAGAAGCTAAAACTTTCTGAAATTACAGCATATGTGTGTGTGTATATATATATATATATATATATATGACAGTTTCTTCATGTCAGAAGTTTTTGTACCTATCTGTCTCAGCAGATAATTAGAACCCATTGGAAT